GAGGGGCTGGAGCCGGGCTGTCCCATCCCTGAAGGGTTCAGCCGGGCTGGGTGGGGCTGTGAGCACCCCGACCTGCTGGAAGGTGTCCCTGCCCCTGGCTGGGGGGTCGGACTGGGTGGTCTGCGGAGTTCCCTGCCAGCCCAACGCAGTCTGCAGTTCTGCCCGCTCTAAAGCACGTTTATCATTCGAACTTACAAGTACTGCTGGAAAAATGAGGCAGTGCGTTGCCAGTGGTAGTAAAGCCGTTCAGGCACGGCACAACATGCAACGAGCGTTCGTTCTGTTAAGGAGGATGTTTCTGCTGTCACTGTGTTTATTTTGAGCTGTTCTAGTAACTCCTGGACCAGTAGAAACAGTGCTAGTAATGGAACTGGAGAGCCCTGCTGCTAGCAGCAGCACTGCTAGTAAACTTCGTGTTGCTGCACCTTTGGTAGTTGACGTCCCGTCACCCTGAAAAGCCCGCTGAGATTTTTCCGCTCGCTGTGCATTCCTTCAGAGTTTTTGGACAAAAAGCTAAGCGCTCCTTACAAATGGCGTGGGTTTGATTCTGAATTCGTCAGTCAGTTGAGTAGTTTCCTTTTAAGCGTTTTGGATTTGTGTCGCCTTTGAGAACAGCTCTCTTGTTTTTTATGGCTTTGTGCGTTTGTGTCTTTGGGTCATTCTTCCATACTTCTAAGCGTGGTGGAATCTGCCTGCTTACCCTAGGCTTTGTGACTGGGCTAATACACGTGGGCTGAGCATTTTTGAAAGCTATGGGAATAACTTGTCTCCTCAGTAAATGGTTTATTTCTGGAGGTTGTGGTGTCCCCAGAGGAGTGCAAGTGTGTTGACGGGGCACAGGTGAACGTGCCTTCTCTGTTTGTAATCTTTGATTCTGCCGTTCTTTGTCTTAGTTTTTTTACCTTTTTTCTAAGACCTTCTGATTCGTTCACTGGTGGTGAACACCTAGTAGGTGTTTTCATCAAGCCGTCAGATGTAACCCCAGCACCTCATTCCCGGGTGGTATGTAACTCAAAGCCTGTTGTAGATGTGAAGGGCCTTGCTCATATGAGCGTCAGTATGAAACTTGGCTCCTGCCTCTGAGCTGATAAAGCCGATAGCTCTTGCCTTTACTGACACGCTTACAGGCATGTGAGAGAGTTTTGAAAGTGTTGAACTAACTTAACAGATAATACTGGATAAGTAGCAAATGGAGAATTTGTCTCCAAAAAAGAGAAAACAAACCTGCCCTCTGTCTGCCCGGTTGTTTTTTTTTTAAAGTATTGCAAGTTCACTTAATTTTGCTTTTTTATTAATTTCTCAAATAATGCAATTTTGAAAATAGCATCAAAACTTTTTTTTTGTGTATGTGTGTGAATGCTTCAGGAAATGCTTCAGAGAACATCAGAAGACTTTTTTCCAAAGATGGAAAGTTCAGCTGAAGAGATGGATACCTCTGATAGCCAGTGGGGCTGGTTTTATTTGGCCGAGTGTGGTAAATGGCATATGTTTCAGGTAAATACCTGTGAAGTTATTCAGCTGTGATGGATTCCAAACATCAAGCTACCTATTGCAGAATTTGTCTAAACGTGCTTTTTCATTTATTTTGAAGACTGATTCAAACAGTCATTGCTCTGTTAGCAGCGAAGATATTGAAAGGAGCTTCCGAGCAAACCCACATGGTTCTGTTTCTTTTACTACTGCAAAATTTAACTACACGCTAGACTTTTCAGGTATGTATCTTTTCACAGAGTAAATTTAAGTAACAGAAGGTGCCAGATAGACCAATTAATTTGTTCATTCAGCAAATTATTGTCCTTGTATCTAGTGCAAAAACTTGTGACTGGAAATGTCTTTTTACTGGAAGGTACATAGGACCTGTTTTTAGAAGCAGCTGCCCCGTTACATTTTCTAGTGTAGTTTCTTAATGAAGTAGCATGACTTGTTCAGTAGCAGTCCATCATGTTACTGCCTCTTATCTCAGTGGTATGTACCGTACACCTATGGGACTGGGAATTTTGAACCTTGTTTCTTTAGCGTGCAACTGCTTGTAAGCTTGAAAAAACTGTTCCATTCAGAGTCTATGTAAGACACACTGATATGAAGGAAGCTTCCTGCAAAATACTGGCATCAAAGTGATTTTATAATTCAGCAGGTAGTTGAAGCCATTTCTGGTGTCAGAACAACAAGGAACAGGCAAAAAGTTTTTCTGGTAGATTGGAAAGATCTCACTTATGCCATGCTGGTAAATTGCAGAATGTTATAGGATTCTAATATATGTAGCTAATTATAAATGTTTGGGGTTTTTTTTTAAGCTTTTCCATCCATTGATTATTTTCTGATTAAATCACAAAACAGCTATATGCATAAATAGAAGCCTCTTCCAAATCAAAGAACATAATAGTGTTTGAAATATAGAAAGTGGGGACTGGCCAACACAGCGAGGTACCGGGAGTAAAGTTGTATGTAACAATACCAGGAATTTTATGTTTACCTGTGTTGAAATGTCTGTTTATAAAAATCTTTGTTTTGCATCCGGAGTAAAAACACGAAATGCAAATGCTAAACAACAATTTTTATGTTATTGTTTGTAGGTCGTGATGTCTTGCATTAAGGGTAGTACTAATGTGCTTTGTCATCCTAGTTTTAGAGTCAGTGGAAGTTTTGCCAATGACTTAATGGGGCTGAATGTTAGATGGGTATTTTAACAGTAAACATTTTGTTTGTGTAATATTTGCACATTTTGCCAACTCGTGTAAATGACAATTATTCTGAGGCCAGTATTTAGAAATATTTATGGAAAATGCTGATTTGTTAATTGTTGAAATTGGAATTCCTATTAAGCAAATTTGGGGGTAGTAACATTACTTAAAAAAAAGGACACTTAAATGTTTCATATGCTATAGATGAATTCCACAAACTTTCATCCTAACTCTTGTTTTATGCTCAGCAATGAAACAAACCAACCTAACCACCCTTAAGCAACGTCCAATAAAGCGAGCTCCCTTTTCTGTCAGTGCTTTCAGGTAAGGAAATGAAAGGAAGGCTACTTATTTTTATTTTATTCCTGATTCTTCTAAGTAAAATGAAACAAAAATATGTTTTATATTTATTGTTTATATACATTTAATTTTTGCATCAGCCAATTTGAGAGGTGAGCCAAGGTGGGAGAGCTAGTCAAGTGAAGAAGGAAGAGATTTCAGAAGAGAAGAGTGACAAAAGAGTTTTTATTTTGGTTTGTATCTTTTTTTTTTTTTCTGAGAATGTAAGGAACTTACAATGGGAGACGCAAGGCATACTGAATATTGATATCCTTTGGCAAGGTTCTTAAACCTGTGCCTGACTTTAGCCATTGGAGTCCCTTGCTGTAAATGCCCATTGAATCAGAATTGCTGTGGAGAGGCAGTAGCAAAAAATGGAGTGGTTTGTTCCATTGTAATAATAACTTCATAAATTATTTAGAAGTATTATTGTAACAGCAGAAAAGATAGAGTTCTGTTTTCTTGCATGTATGTTTTAATCATTTACTCTAAAATGATTTAAAATTACGATAAATTGGATCATAACGACCAGATTGTTTCAGGAGTCCAACTGTGTTAGATTAGTCACTAGATGTGAAGCTGTGCTGATGTAAATCTGATACTCACTGAACAATGAGCTGATCTATGCAGTGATAGTACCACAGATAAAATTGACGATATGGAATATGTGGGGGGTTTATGCAAATAGTTTTGTAGAAGTAATTTTAGTTCTGACTTGTAGTTTGGTTATACTTTCAAAAATAAATTTGTCATTTGTAATAAGAAATTTAGCAGCAATCTTTTTACACTGACATTCAAGAAGGCCTGTTTTTTTTGAAGTGTCAGCTGTTTTTTCATGGATATTTGCTGAAGAATGCATGCAATAATGTGGCAATTCACTTTGGGTTTTTTGTTTCTTTAATGATTGCGTTCAGTACTCTCTTTCCATATGATGAAACAATTCTTTGCTTTCAGGAGTTTGCTTCTTTTAGTCCTGGTTTTAAGGCTTAAAAGGCTCCTGTGTATGTGGTGTATATGCTTAAAACACACTTTTTTTGAGGGCTTGGTTTTGGTGTTTTAAAAACAGATGCAACTATGGTTTTCAAGTGTGCGTTTCTAACATGATGCTTTTAAATACCTCAGATGAGGGCTCAGTTCCCAGAGGCTTAGACTTGTCATAATTCCTGATAGTTTGGAATGTTCAGGCTGTATCTACACTCTCACGTTTCTACATTAGCATTGCTTTCCTGATGTTGTGGACCTTTCTGACCATCTTTTCTGATTTATCTTTGTATCTTGCTGGGTAGATGGTGTATTAAAACTGTTCATTACTGTGGTTTATTTGTAATAAGCTAAGCCAGAATTTGAATACAAAATAAGACCTCTTGCCTTTGACCTTACCTGCTGACAACAGCCTTTGTTCGAATTAAAACCCGCAGTAATTTTGTGGAAGTTTTATTTTTTTGCATACTGTATTGTTCGGAGCAGGAGTTTGACAGGATGAAAATGCCTCATGTCTTTGATGTGATGTGTTTTTACCTTTTTTTGTTTGAAGTTTCATCTGTGAAAATGAGGCTATCCCTATGCCTTCACACTGGGAGAATGTAAATACTGAGGAGCCATATCAGGTAAGAGTTGGTAGGCAAGCTGGTCAAAAACATGTGATAATGAAATAATGCCTTGAATGGAAATCGTACTAACCTCTGTTTTTCCAGCTTATTCCCTTGCAAAAGAAAACAAATGAATATAATGAAGTTTCTAGTCTCTTTGGAAAAACAATGGATAGCCACCGAATTAAAAGAATTAAGAGAATACAAAATCTAGACTTGTGGGAGTTTTTTTGCAGGTGAGATTATTTCTAAAACCAACAGTCTTAGGATTGTTAATGGAGCAAATCTTGAAGGCATGCAGCAGAAAATTGTTATTAATGAAAATATGTCTTTTAATTTTTAAAACTTTTCTTATTTGTCATTCCTCTATTCAGAATTCCATTTTCAAGACTGTAGCTTCTACAGCTACAGAAATGTAATTCTTGTAGAAATGCATTAGATGTACCTGTAGCACAGATAAGACCAATGCATTGAAGATGTTGAGGATGTCCATGTAGTAGATGCCTATGATACTTACAGTGAAGTAAGGAGAACAAAAATAGGCTTTGTGTAAAATAAATCTTGACAGGCTTATATTATTTTAATTTTTAGTGAACAAAGCAAATCAATATTTGTGCTTTGTTTAATTTCTCAACTTCTTGAAATCTAGGACCGAGTTAAGTGTCCAATTAGCACATATTCATGTAATTTCTTTAAGTTTAATGTGCTACAAAAGCTTTTTCTAAGTTCTCTGCTTTTCCCTCTTCATATTGTGCTGGCCTGGAAGAAGTAGGAAGTGCCGGGTTGTGTTTCCACTTACTTCGAAGTATGAATCTTAAGCAGTTGTATTTGACAGAAGGTATTTGTGTAGCCTCTGAGAAGGAGTACGTATCAGAATCAGTTTTAAAGATGTATTACGTTAGTAAAACCAACTGAACTAAGTTAAATAGTGAGGAAATGTACATTAAGAATTTGCATAAGTTATATGATTTTTTGAAAGAAAGGTAATTTATCGTTAATGTAAAACTGTATCATGAGTATGTATAAGGAAATGAATTTAAGTTCTTGGTTAAGAGAGTTAGCCTTCCCTTAATTGCAAATCTATTTAGTTATATTTACCTGTTTAAGTATTAAGGCTTATTTGCTTGGCGTTGTGTTTCAGCATCTGCCTTTCTACAAATAAGTTTCTGTAGAGGTGTATTTATACCATTTTAACACCGATCTTAATTTTTGAGAATAGCAAGCAGACTTCAAAGTAAGTGTCCTTTGTGTCTCCAGTGTAGGTGGCAGAGGGGGGCAGGGGAAGACCTTTTTTGCTTAGCTTAGGAGCTGATGTCACTTGGAGAGCGTATCAGTTTTGCTGGCTGGGCAGTGAGTAGAAGTAATGGTTTAAGAACTCTGAATCTATGGATGCTGTGCTAGAATATTCTCAAGGTAGGAAACTGAGAATAGGAATTAGAATTTCATACTTCAGGACAATTACAGTATCGCCATATAACTAACTACAAAAAAAGGTACTTTTAGTACCTGTACAGTATAAAAGTATAATACAGATTAAAAAAATTTCAGTTTGAAAAATTTATTCCTGTGTCAAAAAAATACCAGTAATAATGAAAATTGCTAGAAGAAGTGTATGCAATTGAGGCTTAGCTGATTTTCTGCTGAGGGTAAAATAAAACCTTGGAGTAGATGGGCTTGCACGTGCTGGTGGAGAAATAACTGCCTGGTAGTATATTACAAAGAAGTAGGTATTCCAGCATTTCAGTTTCACTAAAAGTTCTTTTGCTGTCCCATGTGGGAAAGTGAAAGTAACAGAAGATGAATCTGAGTCTAGCATATTTTGGTTTATGCATCGCAGTTTGGAGCTGTAGAGGAGAACAGCAAGTAGAAAGTGGTGTTTGGTCAGTGAGATTGCTGACCATCTTCAGAAACAGCTTGTGTTCTTGAGTGTGTCCAAAGAGCATGTCTCTGGGCTTTCAGTTTTGCTTTAGGTTTCTCCTTTGCTGAGTGAACTGGCTCTATGAGAGCCTTCCGAGTGGTGGATCAACTTAGTTTCGTTTTACTGGATTAGCTTGTCCCTGCTGGTGGAAAGTGCTAAGGCAATGTTTTTTAGAATGGTTGGGACTCCTTGATTTCTGTTCCAAATCAACAAAAAGTCCTGCTGTGGCATTTCTGCATTCTGTAGAACCACCTTCCCAGTGTGCTCAGTATATTCCACTACTTACAAGGAACAATTGCCACTTAAACTTTTGTGGTTTTGAGAAAGTGTTTTGTTTCGTTGATAAGATCAGTGATTAAATTTGAATATTGCTTGAATCATTATTTGCATCATTGTAGTGGTCAAAACACGTTTGCCTGCTATAATAGTTCACATATTAATGACTATTTAAATTGGTTGCATGGAATCGACTGGTCAGAGATAGCAGAGGACTGTTACAGAGCATTTTTGGACAGTTGATTATTCACCTTTTCCAGAAATTTGTTCTGTTCCTCCTATTTCAAAAGAAGTTCCTCTAGGCTACCTTTACACGTTGTCAGAGATCAGCAGCTGCCAGTAGAGGGCTGCTGACTGAAAAATTTGAGCTGTTCAGCATTACTAGCCCTTAGCTCGGAGGTGTTGCCTCACACGGGTAGTTTTCTCAAGATGCAGAGGATCTTGTCTCTCGGGTTTTGTTGAATTGCTAAGGGAGTGGAACTTGAGTGTTTGGAACCTTTCTGCCTCTGACACAAAGCGTCACCAGTGAGATTATTAGTGAAACCTCCCAGATGTCCTTGAGATTCTACTGACGTGCTTCTGATCTGGAAGGCAGTTGTAGGGCAAAAAAAGACACAGAAAAATTAAGTTGCCAAGACATAGGTTTTGCACTAAATGGAGGAAGGAAAAAAAAAAAGCTGAACAATAAAACAGAATAAATGTATCTTTCAAGTTAAGTGCTGCAAGATTTTAACTTCTGGGCAATTTACTTATTTATAAATAATGCATAATTACAATGTAATGCCATTAGTATGATAACGAATCTTTGCTGCCTGTTTCTTTCCCTGGACTTTCTCAAACTACATCTGAACCGTAGGCCCTGAAAAAGCTTCCTCAATTCAAGTGTGCACTCCAGTTATAAGCAGATCGCTTAATTCGATAAGCCTAAGTATGTTCCTGATAAGTATGTAGCACAGTGCCCCATGCACTGTGGCTTTTATAGGAAGAAAATTGAGGAACGTAGACAAGAACAAGGCTATGATGCACTCCGACTTGTCTTTGTCTGGACAGTCAAGGGATCTTAACTATGAACAGCTCGGTGATTTAGACACAGCTCTAGAGTCAACTTCTTCATGGATCTTAGGAAAACCCAGCTGACAGAAAGTCAGTTAAAAAAGATTGATGGAAAATATATCTGTTCTTTAACTGAAGGTGTGGTATGGCCTTCTGCCCATGAAGACTATAATATAGGTTCACCTGTAGTATAAGGGGTTTTTTTCCAAATTCTCAACTGATGTAACCCTGTCAATGCATGACTTCTCTCTTTTAGAAATTACGTGAACCATCAGTTCTGAAAATCATTATGGAATTATCATGTTGAAGTAGTTTTACATAAAAATGTAGGTAATTTTATTTTTAGTATTTTTGTGGGTTTACATGGGTAGTGATACTGTATAATCCACTAACTTTGTTATCCCTCCCAACCTACTATTTAAGTAGGTGGAGGGATCAAACTGGGAGAAAAATGCCTTTCTTTTAAAAATATATCTGCAGAAAATGACCACGCTGAAACTAATGCCAAATGTACAATGTTGATAAAATTGTTGTAAAAGCCCTTTTTTCCTAATCTTGGATTACTTCTGAAAATAGTCCACAGCATCCAGAAGTGTGTGATTTCTAAACATGTACCTTAAGAGTTCTTATCTGTTTACAAGCCAGAATCATCTAGACGCTTGTGAAAGTGGAGCCTATGGAGTGTTTTAGGTCTGTCCCCTCTGCTGTCTTTTCAGAATACTAACTTAATTTGATTGTACAGATGTCTGTAATGCTGTATTGTATGTTCTCTGTAGGAAAAAAGCTCAGCTAAAGAAGAAAAGAGGTGTCCCAACTATTAACGAGCAGATGTTATTTCATGGCACCAGTAATGAATTTGTAGAAGCAATATGCATTCATAACTTTGACTGGAGAATAAATGGGATGCATGCTGCTGTATATGGAAAAGGTAAGTATTTTTTGTCACGTAAAGCAGTTTGGTAATCTAACAGTTCAGCACTGTGAAGTGTTCCCTATAGTATGTTCTGTGCTATGTACTCCCTGTGTTTATCCAGGAGCTGTTTAACACAGCTCCACTTTTACATCAGGTGTGATTAAGAAAGTTAGGATGCAGTAAGGAATGTAATTATCACAACTGGCTGGTAGGCCCAGGGAGCATGGGGAAGGGGTGCCCAGCAAAGCAGTGTTGATCACAAGACAATCTACCTACTAAAACATTCCCACTAGTAATACTTTGTCATGTTGCTATAATCTAACAATTTATTAAAAAAAAATCGGATTGCTAATGAACATAAAAGAACAGACATCTTTCATCATCCTAATACATATATCCATGCGCTAGTAGTTAAGCTGTCATAAGAATGTCATCAGACTTTTTTTTTTTTTTATTTGAAAGGGACCTATTTCGCAAGAGATGCATCGTATTCCAGTCGTTTCTGCAAAGAGGACATGAAGCACGGAGATACTTTTCAGATTCATGGTGTGAATCTGCAGCCTCATCTGCATAGACCAGATAAAGTCATGTTCCTAGCTCGTGTATTAACTGGTGACTATATCAATGGTGATTCAAAATACATGAGGCCTCCTTCAAAAGATGGAAGTTTTGTGAACTTGTATGACAGCTGTGTGGATAATACCTGGAACCCAAAGATCTTTGTTATCTTTGATGCCAACCAGATCTACCCCGAGTACTTAATAGAATTTTGTTAAGTCTAAAAGGAACTGAACTGAATATTGTTTGTGTCTTTTTTGATACTTTTGTTCCCTTTGTAAAGACAACAACACAAAAACATGAAGCGTGAAAGGAGAGAGGTGAAAGAAAAGCTAGCATTTGTCTGTGGAGGGGGGAAGATACTAAACATCTAAGAGAGACTGTCCAACTGTTTTCAAAAAACTGTAGACTTTACTAATGCGTTTTTCAAATGTAGAGACTATTACAAATTTGAAATTGCTTAGTGAGCCTTAAATACATTGGTCATTGGTAAGTTTTCAAAGGCAACATTTGTGTTCTGATTTTTTAAAATATATTACAAGTATTTATTCATGTGGTAGAAATATGTCTGTAATATAGTATGCATATGATAAAGCTAATCTTTTATAAAGATTGTCTGTAGAACATAAAAACCGAAAACCACCACCACCAAAAAAACCAGGGGGCTTGGCTACATGTGGGTGCAAGTCTGTGTTCCGTAGTGCACGTTGCTTTGTGTTTGGAGGCCTCTTAGTCTGGATTCTAAACCTACGAAAAATCCAACTGCAGAAAACTGATGGAGGAGCTAGAAAGTTCACCAAAGCTGTGGTGTTTAACTTTAGGTTCATTCTACTGCAAGGTTCAATTATATACTTGCAAAGCTTTAATCGTGTGCTTGCAAGATTACAAAACTCTTGCACTACAATTTGAGCTTTGGTTTTGATGAAAATGATGCCCAGAAGCTCTTGTGGTTGTTAATTGTTTGGTGTGTAACTGTTGAGCTCAGTGTTGGGATATCAGCAGTGCCATACACCTTTCTGAGTTATTAATTCTGTAGAATTTTTGCCTTCTTGTTATGGTATACATTTGCATACACTTATATTCGTGCAGCTGTGCTGCTGTGATTCTTGCCCAGTCAGGGTTTAAGAAGCACTCAGTGCTCATGTACTTGCTGTTACTGAAGACAATGTTTAGATTACTGGAAATAACAAAATTTCAGAAGATGCCATCCTTTAATTTTTGAACATTTTCATAGAAAGCTTTCAGTAAGTTGTGTAGATCAGGTTTTAATAACTGATGTAGTTGTAAAGTGAAGGTATATTTGTCACCTGTAGAAAGAGCAAAAGAGACAGTATCTGGGTAAAGAACAAACCTGAGTACCTAAATACACGAAGAGCCTGAAGAAGGGGCTGTTACAGTGAAATGCACTGCAAAGTTAAGCAATTTGCTGCGAAATTGTCCCCCTAATGTTTTTCTTTGTTAAAGGACCTAAGGAGCACTAAGGGACAAGATCTAAGTGGAAGCCTTTCCGGGCTGCTTTGGCTATGACCAGTAACAAATCCCTGTAGAAATAGTATAGAATCATGGCAGATGTAGAGTGATCTGTACTGGTCTGTCATGGAATGGTTAATGGACTTTTTGAATCAAAGGCTATGTTTGAAATGTATTGTATTTAAAAGGCACTGCAGCTGGCAGGACCAAGTCCACTCAAAATCATACTAAACCTATGGAACTGGAAGCAGAATATGACTCCTTAATCTCGCATTGTAACCGAGGACACAAACATCTCTTCCTTCTCCTTAATGCTGTTATCTTTGCCTGTCAGTGGATCTTGCACAAGTTGGGTGTCTGTGTGATAATTTCATGACAGCTTTTCCTTCTGCTTCTGTTCCTAAACCATTTAGGGCTAAGATGCATTTCCTTTATTTTAGTGCAACAGGAAATACGACCTCCGGTCCCGGTTGGGAACTCTGGGTTCTACTGTTATAGGCATGATTTGTGTTTGATTCACTCCTGTGCTAGCTGTGGAAAAGGCACACTGTTTCCTGCGTTGTATAAAATATTTAATAGCAAATCATGCAGGGAATTTGTGTATGACTGACTCCTTTTTATTCTCATACAGTATTCCACAGAACATATATTTTTTTGAAACTAACAAATACATGTGCTATTGTTCCTTTGATTTGCTCTTTTATTTCTTCTGAGGTCTGAACTGACCTTTTTAGTTAAGAAAACTGCAGTTTATTTTTTAGTGTCTCATGGACACAAAATGACATAATCAAGACTGATCTCAGTGACTTTTCCAGTTGTTTGTGTGGTGGTGTCTTGTTTACTACTTAACTCACTTAAATTGAATGTCAGAATCTTCATCTTACCAAATCACTGTGCAATTGTAGTTTCAGCTCTTGTTTTAATGTACTGTTCTGCTTACTGGTGTCCATTTTTGTGCTGAGTCTTGATACTGAAGGTATCTGTAAAGTAGCCATCCTTTTGCTGGCAAGACAGAGTTTATTATTGCAGGCGAAGTCCAGAACTCTACAAGCAGCCAATACAAGAAATGATTTGACTTAATAAAAGGAACCGTGAGGGAGGAAAATAATTTCTTCGATTACGGGGTGTTAAAGATGATGCCGTGAAAAGCCGGAACTGAAGACTCAATAGTCGGCAGACTATTAAGCGGGGATTCTTTATTACGGCGCTGGGCACATGGGGGATCTCTCCTCCAAACGTGTGCACCGAAAGGACACACTTACTAGGTATTTATGCTATGTTAACGTACACATTCATTACATTTGCAGGAAATGCTTATCATAGTTTTACCGAGAACTCATTAGTGTATGGTAATGTCCGTCGCGCATGTTTGTTTGGCGTCTCTCAGTGATTGGCGGGGTCTTCAGATTATCCTGCAGCCTCCTTATCTCTGTAGTTTGTGTATCTGTTCTCCCAAGGCCCAGCTGCCTACAGGGATTATTCAGGAGTCCCTTATCTTGCAACCGTCCCAATTCTTCACAAAGAACCAAGACTTGTTTTGGTTGTGCAATGATTCTGACCACCTGAAGTGATAACATCCCCTACATGTTACATTTGTTATATTCACAGTTTTCAAAGAAATGAAAACAGATTTGGTCTGATTCTGGGGAAGGAAACCTGCTATTTGCTGTTCCTATTTCATGTAGTGAAACTTTACGCTCCATGTTCTTTTTACGCCTGCGCAAGAGAGCATGTCATTCTCTTACGTGTCTTGATCTGAGGTAAAGCTTTCTTAGTTCATTATTCTTGTGGCAGAATGTTTTCACACGGGCACAGCACTTCAGTATGAGCTCATCTTGTTTCCATATCATACTGGCCTCCTGTGCTACCTTTGCTTTTTAGAATGGGCGCGTACTCAGTTATTGCTGAACAGATCTCATTTCATCCAAAGCAGCTGGGGAGAGCATCTTCATTCCAGTTCATTTACAGGGGCAGTTTGTACAAACTTTTGTTTTTAAGTTAAAGTCTGCAGAAACAAAAGGATATAGCTTTATTTTTTAATAGATGTCCCAGTACCCTTACAGATGTGAGATACATAATGTAGCAGCTGGAGTTAGTAACTTAAATTTAAGGAGTACACTGGATGCCAGTTCAGCTGGTGGTTTAAGGACAACTTTAATTCTTTTTAAACTATTATCAGCACACAAGATCATAGCAGGAAGGGAAGTGAGTTTGTGCACTCTGCATAGTTGGAGATCACTTTCGGGGAGAAGACTCATCAGTAATTGGTGTGCTTCTCTGTGGCCTGTAGGGACTGTACGTCTGGTGAGCACATGGCAGTCTCAAAATTCCTTTGACCTGTATGTGCGTCAGTGTTGTCACTGTGATTGTTATTAGGTGCTGTCCAAAACAGTAGGCTCCCAGAACAGCATAGGTCTGCTCCAGTATAGCCACCTACTCTTCACAAGTCACCAAGAAAGTATGGGGACTGACAGATGGAATACTTCGTAATGTGTTTGCTTCTCCTGTGCTTTACTTGCTTTTCTCCACTGACACAGCCCTGCAGAGTTAGGTGAGAGAGTTTAGAGGCATAATCTCTGAGCAGCCAAAATAAGAGTGTGGTTGCTTAGCTGTATTTTTTTGGTTTGTTTTTTTGTTTAACAGACAGAATCCCCTCACACTGCTGATGAATTCACTGACTTGATTTCTGGCACTTAGAGAGCAGAAAAGCCTATATCAGCAAGCCACACTAGAGGTCAGAGTTTTTTTTGTAAACACCACGAGTTGCATAGCAAATTGACTGGAGGACCCTGGCCTGGAGCCCAGGCTCCCCTCGTCCCCCACTAGTCCAGCTTAAAGTTTGCTGGTGGATACGCACGTGCAGCCCAGGCACACCAGAACTGGGGAGGACACAGACTCTCCCCCTCTGCAGCACCGCCTCGCTGCAGCACATGTTCACAGGGGACAGGGAGTGAGCATACACACAGAGATGCTCTAAGAAAAGATAGAAGAAGATACAAGCAGCTAGGACGGGCTGCAGGGATCAGGCACAGTGCTCAGCCAGACACGCATGCTGATGAGCCCCGTTTCACAGCCGACCGGGCCCTCTTACACCCCTTTCTGTCTACCCACTGTTGTTCCCCCCTGCTTTCCTTTCTCATCCCCCGCCCCAGGGGTCTGTACAGCTCTGTGGGTTCCTGCACCCCTCGCAGTCCAGGGTCCCCTGCTGTGGAACACTGCCAGTTGCAAAGTCCAGGCTGATCTTCCTGGAAGTGGCACCTGTGGTTTCTCGATAGCCCATCAGTCAGTGTGAGTGCTGAGGTTCGTTTCTTGCCATTGCCTCCTTTGTCAGGTCTGTGTCTCTGTGTATGTTGTTTCTGGATTCCCCTTTTCCCCTGACTGTCCCAACTGACAGGTCCCCAGTCAGAGAATCTCACTGGAATAAACTTCCTTGCACTCTCACATGCCCTTATCAATTGATGTGACTGACCAGGTTTGGTTCTTATCGCTGCCTCCCGTGTCATGTCCGTCAGGTTTGTGTCCCTGTATGTTCTTGCTCGTGGCTTCCTCCTTTTCTTACTGTCCCTGTTGCATTGGAAAAGGCCCTCGACCAGATACCCTTAAAGGAGCACCACTCTCCTTCCACATACCTTTACAAATAATTGTGCCACATAACATGTCCTGCAGTTCTGGTCCCATGTTTATCTCAACTTGGAGATTTAGTTGGAGAGGTCACATTTCATTCCTCTGGTAATGAGTGCATGTGGTAGGATCATTTGCACTGAGTTTTCACCTTGATGCCTGGACAAGAGACAGCCAAGCTGAGCACAAAGACTGGAAGCTTGCAAGTTCTTTTGAGTGAATCTTTTAATTTTAAAGGGCCCACTT